AATACAATCTCTATACACACTATGAATATCAATACAATCTCTATACACACTATGAATATCAATACAATCTCTATACACACTATGAATATCAATACAATCTCTATACACACTATGAATATCAATAAAACTTGGAACATAGACTACCCCGCAGCGGGGACGTGCACAGCTCAGAATATCTGTGTGAGTTTTTATTGAATAATGATAATTCATATGACGGATTAGTTATTTTCAAATCTTCGTAATCAATTTTGCCCGGTCAATTTTATTATCTTGCACAAAATTAAACACATAAACTCATAAAGTCCTACTCAATATAATCATACTCTCTGATACACAATATATGTTCAATATACTGTCACGGACCACATAAACACACACACTATCCAAACAAGCAGTACTCAATGTGTGTGTGAATGAAGTCAGAGTGATCGAGAGCGCTAAACAAGCGATCGATGATATTTTTCAGGATGATGATTTTGAATCAATGCTTGATGATGCATGCAAAGTACGCAATTTAGCAAAAGTCGCATTCAAGCCGCTAGCGAACGATGCAGTCAACATGTTGCTTGGTAGTGGTGCTACAAGTAAGACAACATCAGATATGAATGCTACAATACAAGTTAATGACAATGCGATAGTTGAACGTGCGAACAATTACCTAGATAGCATTTGGCCATCCAAATATCAAAGTGGCCAAATCTTGATCGGTTCCGTCCAAGCGTGATTTTCATTGGCTTGCACTCATTTTTACCAAACACTAGTTCCCACCCCTGTATATATTGCCATTTTGAAATCCATGACTCACACACGCCTCGCACAACCATTATAACCCCTGCGGGGTTGACAATCTCTATACACACTATGAATATCAATACAATCTCTATACACCCCCCCCCTCTCTGCTACACATGCGCCACACATCTCGTGCCCAGAGCTGACATACGATCTCTGAAGCACTCGTTGGAGTCCTGGCGATGATATAAGCCGGTGATGTTGGTTTGGCTTTGGGTCATACTGAGATCGGGTCGTTCCGTAGGTCCAGTTGTGTGATCGGAGTTTAGGTTGTCTACAGAAACAAGAGTATCAGTAAGTCAACAACTGGGAGAAACTGCCCGTCCAATTTACAGGTGAACAGGTGCATATACATATAGTCCTGGGGGCTATGCGAGTTGGGTGTGGTATGGGGCGTATGCACCTGGGTATCAATCACATTTACGTATGATCAATCACATTCACGTGTGATCAATTACATTTACATATGATCAATCACATGTATGTATGATGAATCACATTTACGTATGATCAATCACTTTTACGTATGATCAATCACATTTACGTATGATCAATCACATTTACGTGTGATCAATTACATTTACGTACGATCAATCACATTTACGTATGATCAATCACATTTACGTGTGATCAATTACATTTACGTACGATCAATCATATTTACGTATGATCAATCACATTTACATATGATCAATCACATTTGCGTATGATCAATCACAATTACGTATACATCCATCATATATACCACAAATGTACACAAATGCCATAAAGACCATAAATATATACAACTACCATATATACCCCAAATATATACAATTGCCAAATAGGCCATAAATATATACAACTACCAAATTTACCCCAAAATATATACAATTGCCAAATAGACCACGTATATCCATTCGTACCGTCTTTACTGCGCCCAGTCTTCCACCGGGATACGAAATCCGACACGAGCGATCTAGTGCCCGAACTAACATCTTTGACACTTTTGCTGCGTTGGCGTACATTCCCATTCATGGCTTCAGTGACCAATGAACCTGTGGGTAAAGCAGATCGGGTGCATATGAGTCCATTACAAATAGAAAAATGGACAGGTAGATATATACGTTTAGTAGAAATTTGTGCGTATATGTGTGCCGCCGATTATGAGTTGAAAGTTGGCCTCGGATGGAATATGTATAGAAGCGCAATTCCAATCAATTATACTTCAATTTAACAGGTGCATAATTTATATATAAATATATATAATGGAATAATAGAATACTAG